ATTAGCCCAAGAGACAGAAAGGGCCACATAAACCAGAGACTTCATCAGCCTGAGACCAGAAGAACTAGATGGTGCCCAGCTACCACCAATGACTGCCCTGACAGGGAACACAACAGAGAGTCCCGGATGGAGCAGGAGAAAGGTGGGGTGCAGAACTCAAAATATAGTGAGAAGACCAGACTTAATGGTCTGACTGAGACTGGAGGAACCCCAGAAAGCACAGCCCCTGGATTCTCTATCAGCCCAGAACTAAAATAATTTATGAGGCCCACTCTTCAGACAGGGATTGGACTGGACTGTGGGACATAAAGTGATACTCATGAGGAGTGCGCTTCTTAGCTCAGCTAGATACAAGAGACTAAATGGGCAGCTTCTGTCCAGAGGTGAGATGGGAAGGCAGAGAGGGTTAGGAGCTTGTTGAGTGGACATAGGGAATCAGGGGTGGGAAGGAGGAGGGTGCTGTCACAGTATGGGGAGAGCAATTAGGGTCACATAACAATGTATGTATAAATTTTTGTATGGGAGACTGACTTGAAATGTGAACTTACAATAATAAAAAAAAAAAGAAACAACAATAAGATACCACTTTGTACCCATTGGTTATTGTTAGCTGCCTCAAAGTCTGCCCCAATTCATGGTGACCCCAGAACTAAATGCTGCCCAGTTCTGTGCCATCCCTATGATGGTTTGGGGATCAGACCATTGTGCTCTATTGGGTTTTCATTTGCTGATTTCCAGTAGGTCACCAGGCCTTTCTTCCTAGTCTTAGTTTGGAAGCTCCACTGAAACCTGTTCAGCATCATAGCAACAAGCAGACCTCCACTGACAAATGGGTGGTGGCTGCACATGAGATGCATTGGCCCAGAATTGAACCTAGGTCTCTCACATGGAAGGCAAGAATTCTACCACTGAACTACCAATGCACCCATTAGAATGGTTATAATAAAATAAAATAAAGATAATAACAAGAGTTGACAAGGTTGTGGATAAATTAGAATCCTTGTACATTGCTGGCAGAAATGTAAAATGGTGCAGTTGCTTTGGAAAACAGTTTCGAAGTTTCTCAAAAAGTTAAACATTGAATTACCATATGATCCAGCAATTCCACATCTAAGCATATATCCAAGAAAATTGAATGCATATGTTCACACAAAAACTTATATACAAATGTTCATAGCGGCATTATGCGTAACAGTCAAAAGAAGTGGAAACAACCCAAATGGTTCCTCAACTGATGAGTGGATAAACAAAATGTGGCATATCCATACAATGGAATATTATTCAGCCATAAAAAAGAATGAAGTAATGGTATATGCCACAACACGGATGAACCTTGAAAACATGATGTTAAGTGAAAGAAGCCAGATACAAAAGGCCACAGACTATGACTCCATTTACATGAAATGTCCAGAAAAGACAAATCCATAGAGACAGAAAGTAGATTAATGATTGCTTGGGGCTGGGGAAGAGGGAATGGGGGAGTGACTGCTAATGGGTACAGGGATTTTGGGGGGCAATGAAAATGTTCTAAAATCGATTGTGGTGACAGTTGCAAAACTCTGTGAATATACTAAAAATGATTTAATTATACAGGGGGTTGTATGGTATATGAATTATATCTCAATAAAGCTGTAAAAGTAAAAGTCAATAGAAAAGAATGTCCTAATACTGGAACATGTGGGTATAAAGCATATTAGTTTGGAGGCTCACTCTACCTTTATATTCATCACTATATTGTACAGTGCTTAAAAGGACAGCCAAGGCATTGAGTTCCTAACCAGGGCAAAGGGAGTAACTGATTGAGCCATAACATGCCATTTTTATCGCTGCCAAAAATAAATCCAGCAATTTCTTTAATTCTTTTTGAAATTTTGTTAATTATCTTTAAAAAGTTTATAATGTGAAATATAAATATATGATTGTCAAAAACTACAAACAATATAGAATGAAAATAAAAGTCTCTCTTAACACCCCCACCCACCAATTCCACTCCTGTCCCCCTAAATAATTACTGTAGACAATTTGCTATGTTTGTTTTTTCCAGGCTTTTGCTATATGTTTTACTTTCATATACATGGCACAAAACTCTACATATTGTTCTACAAGTTGATTTTTTTCATTCACAACTCTATTGGAGATCATTCTAAGATCTTTTTATTGTTGAAAAGTACTTTTTTATATTAATGAGCATTAAAGTTAGATTTATGTATCTTTTTTGGAAGCTTTTAAAAGGCCTTCCTCACCCACTCATATTTTCTTCTAGAACTTTCATAGGTTTGTTCCCAGGAAATTCTTTCATTTTTCAACTTCTTAAAGTATTTTTTCCTTCTTAAAGTAACAACTTTACTTCCGTTTGGGGCATGTACCCAAAAATAGAATAAGACCATTTTTAATTAGTTAACTAGACATCTAGCAAACCTATCGCTGTTGAGTCAATTTTGACTCATAGAGACTCTATAGGAAAAAAGGAGAAGTGCCCCATAGGGTTTCCAAGGAGCAGCTGGTGGATTCAAACTGCCTACCTTTTGGTTAGCAGCCGAGCCCTTAACCACTGCACCCCAGGGCTCCAGATATCTAGCAGTCCCCCTAAAAATGTGAACTTCAGAACTGAGAAACACCATCCTTTCCCCAAACACATTCACTACATCTGCTATTAAAGCCTTTCACCAAAGTTCCTCAGCTTAAAATAGGCCCAAACTTTCATTCTTTTTAATAACAAGGGGTAAAGGTGGGCTAGGATGGGGTAAAGGGAAGCATTTTACCAAAAGAAAAGACAAGCTTGTAAAACAGACCTGCATTTGGCTTTGTTCATCAGCATATTCGATGGACTGGAAAACGGTGAGAGCATGGCGTTGTCTAGCCTTCAGGCGAGCACTGTAGCCTCTGTACCAGTTCTGGATAATTGTTGCAGCTTTTATCACTGCCGATCCACAGAATATGAAAGTCAGAGAAAAAGAGTTACTATGCAGTTATGGGGGAAGTAGGTGCTTTAGAAAAAAATCAGTCCACCTGGATTCCTAGGTTATAAGAACATGAAAACTAAAAACAATGAAATTTATGTTTTTTGTTAAAATGTTCTCAAGTCTCAAACATTCAGAGAAAAATGATGGCATAGCCATTTGGAGTACAAACTTTGGAACAGGATTGCCTGAATTTGAATTCTAGCTGTGCTAATTACTATTTGTGTGACTTTGGGTAAGTTATTAAAACTTTCAAAGCTTCAGTTTCCTCACCTGTAAAATGAGGATGATAATAGTGCCTTCATCTGGCACTACTTTGGCAAATAAAGTCTATGTATACCCGATAAAGTAGCAATTCCACTCTTCTATATACACCCCAAAGCAATCCTCACACAGTCCATAAAGGAGACATGTATGAGGACACAATTGCAACTTTACTTGTGGCAGTAGGAAGTTTGATACCAATGCAGCCTGGGGGCCAACTGCGGGGAATGAGAATGTGTAACTGTGGTGGGCACATGCCATGGAGTGTTATGCTTCAAGTGGAAGCAATAGACTAAATAAACCCAAAGCAGCATGGATGGATCTTAAAAACATAGTGCTTCAGTTAGAACAGTTAGAAACAAAAGTTATAGTCAGGATGAAATATAACATGATACCATTTCACATAAATTAAAAATATACATACACAAAACCGCAATATACATTTCGTAAGAGTATGTACAAAAAAAAGATACACACTAAATGCAATAGATTGGTTATTTATAGGTGGAGGTGAATGAGCATAGGATACATGGGTAAAAGGAAATAAACAAATTAACATAAGAAAGAGTCTTGCACAAACCAATGATGACAACATACAATGAATTGATTCACGCCACCTGCACCTGAGATTCAACTGATAAAAGACAAGTGGATAAATAAACATACTTTGTTTCTGTCTTAGTTATCTAGTGTTGCTATAACAGAAATACCACAAGTGGATGGCTTTAACAGAAATTTATTTTCTCACAGTTTAGGAGGCTACAAGTCCGAATTCAGAGCGCCGCTCTAAAGGAAGGCTTTCTCTGTTGGCTCTCAAGGAAGGTCCTTGTCTGTTTTGAGCTTCTTTTCCTTGGTGATCTTCACATGGCTTGGCATCTATCCTTCCTCATCTCTGCTTCTTTGCTTCCTTGCTTAATTGGCTCCTTTTATATCTCAAAAGAAATTGACTCAAGACACACCCCACACTAATACTGCCTCGTTAACATAACAAAGATAATCCATTCCCAAATGGGATTATAACCACAAGTATGGGGTTAGGATTTACAACACATATTTTGGGGCGGGGGGGACACAAGCAATCCATAACATTTTCCTTATAGAGTTACTCTGAGGATAAGATGAGATATTAGAACTGAAGAGTTTAGTCCAATGCCTGGTGTAAGGCACATGCTAAACAAATGGTAACTATAATGATAATGAGCCCTAGAGACGCAGTTGTTAAGAACTCAGCTGCTAACCAAAAGGTTGGCAGTTTGAATCCACCAGCCGCTCCTTGGAAACTCTATGGGGCAGTTCTACTCTGTCCTATAGGGTTGCTATGAGTCGGAATTGACTCAACAGAAATGGATTTTTTTTGGATAATGATAATTATTGTTTTGTTTGTGGATTATCCAGGTCCCTTCTCTCTCCTCTGGCTGATAGCCTTTGAACCATCCTGTAGTTCCACAGTATTGAAGAAAGAGATCAGGTAAAAGATAATGAGACTTAAAATAAAGTCTCTTATGCCCTCCTGGAGTTTAGAGTGAAGGGCAAACAACACTAGCTGGCTTCTTTAATTTTTCCCAGTTAGCACATAAAAATTAAGAGTTAACTATAACAACAACAATGAGCTCTGAAAGCAGGAATCTAGCCTTCAGTAGCACAGTGTCCTTTGGCTTAGTACTGCTATGGGACCCTGAGTATATACCAGGACCCAGACCTACTTCTGAAAATCAGCCAATGAAAACCCTATGGATCACAACAGTCCAATCCTGTTGTGCATAGGGTTGCCACAAGTTAGGGGCCAACTCGAGGGCAGCTAACACGTCATCTGAGAGGGTTTATTTATGAGCTTCCCCAAGGCTCTTAGATTCCAGAGACTCTCATTTCATTATTCAGCTTCCAGAAGACTCCAGGAAATAGATATAAGGTCAAGTATCATGATCTTTACCAGGAAAAACCACAATGAGAAGAAATAGAGTGACTTGTTCAATAATGCAAAGCAAATAATTGGTAGTACCATAGCTGAAACCTAAAGTGCTTTCACGATATCATTATGGAGGGTCCAAACCAAACCCATCACCATCGAGTTGATTCCGACTCATAGCAAGGGCCTAGGCTCCCTTAGATGTCTGTTGTGTGAGACAATTACTGTCATGACCAACCCACCCTCACCTCAGGGGCTCTCATTATCACCAGGCACAATGGTACTGTTCCAGTGCTATTTACTGAGTACTTACTAAGGGCCAGGCAATATAAAAACTCCCACAATCCTCACAACACTATAAGGCCAAGAGAGATTGAGTAGCTTATTTAAGGTCACTTAGCCAAGAAGTGGAAACGGACAGCAAGGATTTGAACCAGGTCTGACTGACTCCATAGCCCAAGCTCTTCACCTCCATAGAGCTGTTGACCTTTTTCTGTACCTCAGCATCTTCATTTATACAATGATGCAGTGGAATAAATAATCACTAAAGTCTATTCTAGTTAGTATTAGCAACATCAATAGTAAATAATCAGCTTATTATTATTTCTATAATTAATAATAGAACAAAATAGCTGCCATATGTTAAGGATCTACTAGAAGACATTAACAGTTAAGCATTCAACTACTAGCCAAAGATTGATGATTCAAACCCACCCAGCGATGCCACAGAAGAAAAGCCTGGTGATATGCTACCATAAAGATTACAGCCAAGAAAACCCTATTGAGCAGTTCTACTCTGTAACACATGGGGTTGCCATGAGTCAGAACTGACTCTGTGGCAACCGGTTTGGTTTTAGGGTTTTTTAATAAGACATTTACATGAGAAAGCTGGACAATGAATAAGGAAGACCAAAGAAGAATTGATGCATTTGCATTACGGTGTTGGCAAAGAATATTGAATATACCATGGACTGCCAGAAGAACAAACAAATCTGTCCTGGAAGAAGTACAGCCAGAATGCTCCTTAGAAGCGAGGATGGTGAGATTTCGTCTCACATACTTTGGACATGTTATCAGGAGGGACCAGTCCCTGGAGAAGGTCATCATGCTTGGTAAGGTAGAGGGTCAGAGAAAAAGAAGAAGGCCTTCAACGAGATAGAATGACACAGTGGCTGCAACAATGAACTCAAACATAACAACAACTGTGAGGATGGTGCAGGAACAGGCAATGTTATGTTCTGTTGTACACAGGGCAGCTATGAGTCTGAACCGCCTGGAGGCAGGGCACTGAGCAGAGGCGGGAAGAGGGACAGGGGACACACGCCTTCCTGTCTGCTTCCTGTTCCTGGCAGGGTAATCTAGCCGCTGCTCTCAGGCAGCAGCAGTTTTTGCTTGTAGCAGTAGTTGGGTCCCGTTTGCAGTTTATCCAGCACTTGCAGAACCAGCCTTGTGGCAGCCCCTTAAAGACACCAGCACCAGCTGAGCAGCACCCCTTCTCGAAAGCTAGTGGTTCAATTCTGCAGGACCCCTCCTCCAAGTTTCTCAGTTTTAATAATTCCAATCTTTTCCCTTTGTTCTCTCAGCCCTAGGGGTGGTAACTGTTTCCTGCAGTTGCTACCTATGAGATACCTTAGAGTTCTCTTTCAGTTACTCTTTCAGTTACCTAGTAAACAACTTGATGCCTCATTGACAATTCTTTACATTATATTCTCTCTCTTTGTTCAAATAACTCATGTGGTTTATGCCTCCTGACTAAGACCCTGCCTGATCAGCTAGTTCCATGGGAGTGGGAAAAGTAGGTCCTGCTTAGGCCTCAAGCCTCCACCTTCCTGGGCCCTTACTAGAGGTCTACATTGGGATTCCGTGTACTTGTGCAGCAGTTCAGGTGGACTTTGAGCCACATTCTGCTGTTGTTCCTTGGGCCTACAGTTCCCGCAGCAACCTCTCCAGCGCAGCATTGAGCATACCATCATAACACCTCCATATCATCTGATGCCCAACAGCCCACCCACCCTGGGGCAACACTAGCCAGCAGAGGACCCTCCTCTGGTGCAGAAACCTCCAAAATGACAAGGGTAGAGCCCAGATCTGATGGACCCTACCCTGAGTGGTCGCTGGCTCCATAACCCCCAACCACCCTGCCCGTGGAGTTGAAGATCTGTGTTGTCCAGTTCTGAGCTTGGACAGCTTACATTCACTTCTAGTCCTGCTGCCTCATCGTCTAATGGGGCTTGTCTTCTCTGTCACATTAATTCCATGCAGAAAAAATAACGAAAATAAACACTAGTGCCGTATGTATCCCAAGGGCCCACTATTTTTGTTTCTAGAAAGAAGCAACAGCATAGGTTAATAATTTACCTGACCGATATTCTGAGCCCGGCATAGGTGGTTTCTATATTGCCAAGCCGGGGTTTTTTATTGTTTGTTTGTTTAATGGATTATTTTTCTGGTGGTGATCACTATCACAGTATGTTGCAAGGAATTAAAAATACATGCAGGAGGTCATTGAGTAAAACAAATAACACATTCAGAGTATTTGCTTTGTGTCAGGGACTGTGCTCAGTGCTTTATGTGTGGATCATCTGATGTGATTTTTATTTAACTTAATTCTCCCAACAATTCTATGAAATGTCATTATACTTATTTTATAGATAAGAAAACTGAAGCTCAGAAATAATTTGTTCAGGGTGACATCAGTACTCAGTGGGAGAATGTAGAGTCAAATTCAGACCCATGCCACTTCAGAACCTAGGCTCATAACTGTTACACCATACAACCCAGTGTAGCGTT